TCACTTCTCACCTGGTCTCACCCCCATGGGTGACCTCATCCACCCCAGGCTTCAGCCCCAAATCTCAGCGCTTCACTCCCCCCTGGGCTCCAGATCCCGCCACGTCTGTCTCAGACCTCACATTCTATATGTCACCCTCCCCAGACCTGCTCTTCCTCTTCAGGCTTTGTTTCAGTAAATTCTCCATCATCAACTCATCTGTGAGACACCCCCGGCTCCTCTTGTATACCTCACATCCAACCAGCCACAAGTGTTGGTCAATTGTGCCTCCTAAAATGTTCCTGGTCAATTGGGGGTGGGGCGGGAGGGGGTGGGGAAACATATGTAATACTTTCAACAATAAAGGATTATTTTTAAAAAGTTCCTAAAGGAGACCTAGCCGGTTTGGCTCAGTGGATAGAGCGTCAGCCTGTGGACTGAAGGGTCCCAGGTTCGATCCTGGACAAGGGCACATGCCTGGGTTGCAGGCTCGATCCCCAGTAGGGGGTGTGCAGGAGGCAGCCAATCAATGATTCTCTCTCATCATTGATGTTTCTATCTCTTTCTCCTCCCTTCCTCTCTGAAATCAATAAAGAAATATAAATATATATATTTTAAAAAGTTCCTAAAGGAATGAATGAAGAATGAATGAATGGCGAATGAGTGAATGCTTGAGTGTGAGCATGCTGGGGGCGGGGCGAGGTGACGTCACAACCGGCTGATTGCAACCATAAAGTGCATCCAGAGGGTGGAGCTAGAGAGGCCGCGAGCGTGGCTGGGTGCGCCGGGATCTCCCGGAAGTCTCCTAGGCAGAGGCGGAAACGGAAACCTACTTGGGGCAAAGAAGGTCCATTTGTAGCGTGTCGAGTTTCTGGTTGCCTGCTGAGTCCGTGTGAAGGGTCAGCTCGGGTTCCCCGGGTCATGGGGTTGGGATGGCCGAAGGACTCGGAGGGGCCAGTGGGCGGGACCGGAGGCCTGAGGGGCCTGAGGGGTGGGGTCGCGGTGGGGCCTGAGTGGTGGGGCCGGAGGGGCCGGAGGGGTCACCCCGGGGGACCAGGAGTCGGGCCGGAGAGGACCCGCCGGCCCTGAACTCCCGGCCCACCGCCCCCAGGCCTCATGGCGGTTCGAGCGTCGTTCGAGAACAACTGTGAGATCGGCTGCTTTGCCAAACTCACCAACACCTACTGCCTGGTGGCCATCGGAGGCTCGGAGAACTTCTACAGGTGCGACGGGAGCCCGCCGGCATGTGGATGGGTGGCGGGCAGGGGGCTGGGTGGCGGGGTCGCCGGCAGAGCCCTCGAGGGCGCAGCCCGTGACCCCCGAGCCCGTGTCCCCGCAGCGTGTTCGAGGGCGAGCTCGCCGAGACCATCCCCGTGGTGCACGCCTCCATCGCCGGCTGCCGCATCATCGGGCGGATGTGTGTGGGTAAGCGGGGCGGACGCCGGGAGGGAGCGGAGCCTCCCAGCACCTGTCATTCTGGCCCTGGAGTGGCCCCGGGTGGCCCAGGGGTTTCCAGGCGTTCCTAGGCGTCCCTCCATGGCGGGCTCTGCGGGCAGGGCCAGCCTCTGCAGAGGCTTCCGGATCGTAGTCACAACAAATAGCATTCAGTGCTTTCACTCTTACCCGTGTTCGCAGACCTTCTCCACGAAGACCCTGGGACAGTGATGGCGAACCTTTTGAGCTCGGCGTGTCAGCATTTTGAAAAACCCTAACTTAACTCTGGTGCCATGTCACATATAGAAATTTTTTGATCTTTGCAACCATAGTAAAACAAAGATTTATATTTTTGATATTGATTTTATATATTTAAATGCCATTTAACAAAGAAAAATCAACCAAGAAAATGAGTTCGCCTGTCACCTCTGACACGCGTGTCATAGGTTCGCCATCACTGCCCTGGGAGGTAGGGATTATTGGCTTCATTCGACTGATGGGAAAGCTGAGACTTACAGAACCGAAGTGACTCACCAGGTGCCACACCTGGAGTGAGGCAAGATCAGACTTCTCCCCGGTTGCTGACTCTGGGTCAATTGCTTTTTCTAAGATTTCTAAAAAGCTAAGATTCTGGGGCAACCGGTTCAGTTACTTAAATCTTAAATCCCCATGTCTCTGAGTGGCGTCCCTATCCTACCTCTCAGCACCATTGACTCTTTGAGCTGAATCTCTGTTTACTGCCACCCCTTATTTCTAGTTCTGCTCATATAGGAGTTTGTTCCTTTAATTTTTTAAAATCATAATTCTGATGATGCTAGCCTTTGAATATTTTCTTTTTTGTTTTGTTTTTTATTGATTTTTTTTTTTTTTTTTTGAGCGAGAGAGGGAAACATCAATTGGTTGCCTCCTACACCCACTCTGACTGGGGATTGAACCTGCAACCTGGGCATGTGCCCTAATTAGGAATCAATCCCGCAACCTTTTGATTTTACAACATGACACTAGCCAACTAAGCTACACTGGCCAGGGCAGTATTTTCTTACGAAGGCAAAACACTCTTACTCCTAACCATGACTTCAGAACTTGAAGTTCTGATGTAACTAGGGAGAATTGAGCCTGACCATTGCTGTTTTATTTTATATTATAATGGTAACAACTGAGAATTAAGAAGTTCACAGAAGTGTGCCCTTGTAGAGGGAGGCAGAGGTTTAGTCATTGTTGTTACAACATAATTGTAGTTTGTTCATTCTCGTTTCTGTATAGTATGTTTTATGTACGTATATCACAATGTATTTATCCATTCTACTGACAGTGGGCATTTGGGTAGTTTTCAGTTTGGTCTGTTATAAATAGTGCTGCTATATCTTTTAGTGAGTACATGTATTGATTATGTAATACCTAGGAGAAAATGGCTGGGTCACAGGGTATGTGAATATTCAGTTTAATATATGATGCCAGATAATTATCTGAAGTGGTTAAACAATTTACACTCCTATTGGTTGCTCCATATATTTGCCAGCACTTGGTATTGATGTTCTTTTGAAAATTTTAGCTATTCTAGTAGGTGTGTGGTGTAATCTTTTAAGTGGCAAAATATATAACTAATGCCAAGAACACTTTCTGATAGTCCAGGTCCCCCTGGTTGGTATTGTCAAAGTAGGTAGTGTGTGTTGGGACACACTCCTAGGCTGTCTCGGGTTGCCCAGTAGGACTCCTGGTCTCTCTTAGTGTTGTATGGATCAATTGGTTAGAAGGCTGGAGTTGGCCTAAAGCTTTCCTGGGAAAGCTAATTAATTGGGCTGGGTTGTATCCTCAGCTTCCAGGGCTCAGCAGGTATCTTGTGTATTCATGGTCTTTCCTTGTTCCACCCTGCAATTTGGATCTTTCCAGGGAACAGACACGGTCTCCTGGTGCCCAACAACACTACTGACCAGGAGCTACAACATATTAGAAACTGCCTCCCAGACTCAGTGCAGATCCGGCGGGTAGAGGAGCGGCTCTCAGCCCTGGGCAATGTCACCACCTGCAATGACTATGTGGCCTTGGTCCACCCAGATCTGGACAGGGTAAGGCGGCCTAGCTAGGTCCAAGAGTCACAGTACTAGCCTTGTAAATGGCTAGTCACCGTTCTTACCTGTCAGGCAGGAAATAGGGGTATCTTATGGTTTCTTTTTATACCTGTGGTCTCACATTTTAGTTACTCATTGGAATAGTGATAATAGAGACCTTCCATGGTGTGGTCAGTATAAGAAAGAAGCTGGAGAGGGTATTAATCCTTCAGAATTAGGAGCCAGCCAGGCCCAGGAGAGATGATTGACACTTGAACCTTGAGTGTGCATTAAAGGGTGGTGTGGAGAGCAGTCCCTGGCTGTTCAGGGCATGCATGGATATTAGGGGCTCCATAGCTGGCCTCAACTGTGCTCCAAGCTGTATCCCCTCCTTTTTCTGGATCAAGCTTTCATATGCAGCTCTGTAGGAGAGGAATGGGGGTTTTAGGGCGTTAAGCCCTGTGTGGTTCTTGGCATGGAGGACCCTGGATTCTTTGACTTGCAAGCCCTGGGCGCTGAGCACAGTACCTCTGACTGACAGGAGACAGAAGAAATCCTGGCTGATGTGCTCAAAGTGGAAGTCTTCAGACAGACCGTGGCTGACCAGGTGTTAGTAGGAAGCTACTGTGTCTTCAGCAATCAGGGAGGGCTGGTACATCCCAAGACTTCAATTGAAGACCAGGATGAACTGTCCTCTCTCCTTCAGGTCCCCCTTGTGGTAAGCATTCTTGTTCTCTGTCTCCTGCTGAAGCAGATCCCTTTGTCCTGCATTATTGGGCTTATTACCCATCACAGGTTGGGATTGGGCTGCAGGTCAGGGAGCAGGGTTTGGGGGGAGTTCTCATCAGGGATGGGAGAAACTTTGATTATTGATGTTATGATCCATATTGAGCTATCATTTGCAGGCGGGCACTGTGAACCGGGGCAGCGAGGTCATCGCTGCTGGGATGGTGGTGAACGACTGGTGTGCCTTCTGTGGCCTGGACACAACCAGCACAGAGCTTTCAGTGGTGGAGAGTGTCTTTAAGCTGAATGAAGCCCAGCCTAGCACCATTGCTACCAGCATGCGGGATTCACTCATTGACAGGTATCTGGGTCTCTCTTCTGCCCTTTGAAGGTAGGGGAAGGAGATCACCTATAACGGGAGCCACACTGTATTCATACCTGTAGGTTCTACTTGCGTGTGAGGGCACACCTTCACAATGCCGGGCTGTCATAGGGTACAGCTGCAAGCATTGCCTGAGTATCTGCTCATCCCTGTCTTTGAAGACTTGGTTCAGTGTATCTTCTCTCTGGGCAAAGCTTCCCTCTGGTCTGTCTTATTTTATCACTTACCACATGTAGTTTGTATCTGCCACTGTATCGGTGCCCCAGCCGGCAGACTGATACAGAAAAGAACTGTTTACTGAGGGAAGGAGGGGAGGCTGCCCTTAGGAACTGAGGAGACCTTAGGTGCCTAATGGACGTGGGGGTGGGGATTGCATCACAAGCACAGTTACCTGGGTTTTTGTGTTTATTTGTTTTTTAAAGTGGGTTCTTGGGCCTCAACCCTGGAGATTCAGGGGTGTGAATCTCTAGAATCTCTTCTTTTTTTGGAAGAGCAGCAGGTGTTGGATATTCAGGCTCCTTCTCTCTTATTCCCCAATGAGGATCCTTCCCAGGATATGCTACACCCAACTAGCACAGGCGTCTTTATGAGAACAGAAACTGCAAAGTGGGTTGAGTGCCCAGTAATAGCACTCGTAACGGGCAGTATTTCCCTTCATTCTCCCTTCTTCATTTATTCATCCGCCTGATGTTCATATATAAATGTCTAACCACTATGTTGTATACCTAAAACTAATATAATATTGAGTGTCAACTCTAATTGGAAAAAAAAAAAAAAAGACTTGACATGGGCATTCAGAGTCCCTAAAGACAAGGCTTCATGTGGGATAGGCAACTTAGTGTTACTTCTGCCTCTGAGGGGCTCACAGTGTAGCAGGTGAGAAAAGTTGTAGTGGCCACACATACTCTTAGCTATCTTCAAAGAAGAAATAAAAGGTGCCGTAAGTGCTTGGCAAGCTCTAAGAGACACTTTTTGGGATCCAGAAAGGACAGTTCATTTAGTCTGGGCTTTAAGGAATGAGTAGGTAATTGAATATGCATAGATAGAGTGGGGAAGCACATTAAACAGACACACAGATAGAGGAGTATGAAGGGGAAAACTATTATTCCCAGAGTGTTGGGGACTGAATGCCCATGTCAAGTCTTTTTTTTTTTTTTTTTTCAATTAGAGTTGACACTCAATATTATATTAGTTTTAGGTATACAACATAGTGGTTAGACATTTATATAACTTAAGGAAGTGATTCCCCCGGAAGGACTGGTACATAGTTATTACAATATTATTAACTATATTCCCTATACTGTACTTTACATCCCCATGACTATTTTTTTAATTGCCAATTTGTACTTTTTAATCCCTTTACCTTTTTCACGTAGGCCTCCAATCTCCCTCCCCCATGTCAAGAAGTTTTGACTATAGACCTATGATTTTGACCTTTGGTCTATGTTGGATGATTGTTTACATAGATTCCTGGCGTCATCCCTCAGTTACTGATTCCCTCAGTCTGGAGTGGGGCCAATCATGTGTGGTTATTTTAATAAGCTTCCCTGTGTGACTGTGATGGGACAGTTTGGAGACCACACTGACAGACTGTGTGCTGTCAGCCCTAGAGAGCAGTGGAAAGGGTCTGAACAGGAAAGTGGGACCAGTGGTTCTGTCATTTGTTAAACAGCCTTTTTAAAGCACCTGTTATGTGCCAGACAATAGTGATGTGATGATAAATAAAATATACACTCCCTGCCCTTTTGAAACAGACTTTCACAAGAAAAAGACAGTACTTACACCATTAATCATTTAACTAAAGAACAAAAAAACTCTTAGTAACCTAAGAACAGAAATTTCTGTAACCTGATTATTGGTACCTACTGAAAAATTATAGCAAATGTTGCATTTAATGGTGAAACTTCAGAAATTGTTATTAAAGTCATGTAGTCAGCAACACCGGTCAGCATCGCAGTTTGATAAGATAAAGAAATGGGTATTGGAAAGAAGAGACAAAACTCATTATTCTTCTTTGGTTTTGAACTCACTGAATTTGAGGTGCCTGTGAGACCTTAAAATAAAGGTGTCAGGCCACTAGAAATATGTACTTCATTTTTATAATCATGCACATGATTATCACTTGCAGGAAGAAAGTTCTGGCTTGAGCTCTGCCACTGGGGGATTTGTGGCTTAGGCACATCCCTTCCCCTGTCTGAGCCCCCTTGTTCCTTTCTTTCATGTCTGTTGGACTTGACCCTTGAGGATTCAACCTAAGACCACTAACAGTTTGAATAAATTATTTTTTAAACATATTTTCATTGATTTCAGTCAGGGAGGGAGAGAGAGAAACATCAATGATGAGAGAGAATCACTGATCAGCTGCCTTCCACACTCCCTACACTGGGGATCTAGCCCACAACCCAGGCATGTGCCCTGACGGGGAATCAAACCCGTGACCTCCTGGTTCCTAGGTCAACACTCAATCACTGAGCCAGGCCGGCTGGGCTGAGTAAATTATTGACCCATCTGAACAGGGAAGGAGTTACTTTTACTTTTTAAGCATTGAGAGTTCTACAATGGATTGTAACTCAAGGGATCAGTGGAACCTGGAAGGGGCTTTGAATATGGTTCTTCAGGGCTAAGCTGGCACAAAGGGCCTGGGGTAGGGTTGGAGGCAAGCACCTTGAGAATGGAGGGTGAGGTGTGCTCTGTGAAGCACCTACTGACATGCGCCTTCCTCTCTCTCTCTCTAGCCTTACCTGAATCACCTCCCATGCTGTTTTGTTGGCTCCTGGTTCTGAACTTTGGCTCCCTCTCAACGTCCCACCCACTGTGTCCCGGATGTGGCAGAGAGCTCATTGGTATCAGGTGGCTGGATGCCCAACCCTTCTTCACCAGTGCCCATCTCCTGACTCTAGTTACTGCAAAAATCTACCATGTACTAGCTGTCAGGCCTTCTGGCTGCGAGCTGAGAGCTCTGCTGCCCTGTGCCAGCCAATTAAAGGCAGCTGCTTCTGATCATTCTGAATGTGTTGTTATTCCCGGGGAAAGATGGGGGAGGATGCGCGGGGGTACGCCATGGGCTCCACTACACTAGTTCTCCATTTTCCTCTCAACTTCAGCCTCATACTTGATGAAAGTCAGTTCCCCCAGGGCTGGTCTGAGGATCCTGGGGCACCTGGCTATGGGGCAGGCTTGCCCTCTTTGACCCAACATAGTTGGAGGTCGCTGGCCTGGCTGCCCGGGGACCTGGACAGCCTCCCCCTCCGCGGGCTCCCCAGTAGCTGGGGCGGGCCTTCTATTGGTCTGGCTGCGCGGGGCGCGTCACCGCAGGTTGGGACGGGATTGGCCGGTTGCTGGTGGGTGGGGTCGAGCTGGTTGGGTCCCGCCCCCGGGGCCAGAAACGGCTCTGGAGGCCGGGCGTGGTGACGTCACGGCGATAGCTCCTCCCGGCGCAGCGGCGCGGGCGAGCGGGACGTGGAGGCCGGCGCTGCGATTCTCGGGACCCGCTGCTCCCGCCGCGCGAGGTGAGGGTCGGAGGGGCAGGGAGGGGGCCGTAGGGCTGGCCGAGCACCTGACGGGCTCCTACTCCTGCAGACCATGGGCGCTCAGCTGAGCGGCGGCGAGGGCGCCGCGGGGCCGGCGCAGCCCCAACCCCAGCCCGCGGCGCCCGAGGGTCCTGAGCGGCCTGGGCCCGAGCCCAGCCCCTGGGGGCCCCTGGACGACGTGCGCTTCCTCATCGCCTGCACCTCCTGGTACTGACTCCGCCCTCCGAGTCACCGCTCACCGCCTGTTCTGTTCGCCTCGCCCGGTCCGGCCACTGTCGTCTGTCCCCACGGCCCAGTGTCTCTCTCAGCCTGTTCCCTCCCGCCCCCGCGCCCCACGCCCCAGAGACGGGGATTGAGGAGGTCGAGGGGCCTGGAAGGAAGTCCCGGCAGAGCTGCCTCCACAGCAGCGCCTTGGGACACCTTGAATTTGTTCGCTCCCCATCCTACACCCAAACCACCTCAGCCTTCGTGCTCACCCGCACCCGCAGCTCCAGCCATCTGGGCCCTGGCTCAGCTTCCCTGTCACTGACTTCCAGAACCAGGCGAGGGTTCGTGGTGAGACCCTAAGGCCACTGACCTCACTTGTCCCTCATTGCTGAGAACTCGGCTCCTGCTTTTGTTCTGGTCATTGCACGATGGGCCTTGACTGCAGAGAAGACCTTGCCGCGGTGACTCTTCCTGAACCAGGGGAGGTTGGTCCTCCAGCCTGGACCCAGTGAGGCATTGTCAGGCTGTATTTCTGGGACCCGATTCCACTGGGCCTCTTGGAGAGAGGGGATATGCGATTGCTGGGCCGGCAGATGAGATGAATGGGGCAGCTCCTGGACACCCCAAAGTACCCTGTTTCTCTTCTCCCAGAAGCTTCTTAGGCCACTCTCAGAACCGGTTTCTCTCTCCCACATTCAAGGGAAATGACAGACTGTATTTTTGTTTTATTTAGAAATGATTTAAAAAACATTATACAAAGGCTGATCAGTTTAAAATGTGACTGACACTGAAATGCTATGATGTTCCCCAGGCTGAGGGGAAGCTGGGCTCTGGGACCCCCAGGGCTTTGCCCCTCTGTCTGCTCTGTCCTGGGGTGATGGACAAACAGATGATCACAAGGCAGGATAATCCGAGTTTGGAAGCCTCCAGGCTGAGCCCTCTCTGGGTCTAGCCTTGCATCCCTCACATCTGCAGCCTGGGCTGCCTGCCTCCATCTCCTGCTCTTTCTCAGCTGACCTTGGTAGTATTAGGAGCCAACGGGAGCCTGCGGGGCCTAGAGCATTCAAGAAGTGAGAGCACCAACCTGAGGAGTGGAGAGGGACCAGGAAGGGGCGAAAGGAGGCCAGGAAAAGATGGATAAAAGAGACACTTCTGATCTCATCTTGGACCTTAGAGGGGTCCACAGGTGGAGACCAAGGCCCAGCCAGCTCACTGGACGGCCTGGGCACGTAACAACCTCTCTGTGCTTCATTTGAGGGCGTGATGAAAATTACCCTTGGCCTCCCAGGGCCTACACTAGTTTCATGTGAGTGGACAGGTGTGAGCTAATAAAGTGCTTTGCAAAGTATAAAACAGTGTACAAACCTATGAATCACTTATATCTCCGCAGTTGTTCCCCACCCGCCCCAGGGAGCCCGCCCTTGGCCAAAATGAGAAAAACAAAACAAAACACAGAAGGATAATGACAGGGAACACAGTGGAGCCCAATAGGTGCCTCTGGGACAAGAGATTTTGCTTTAGACAGACAGCTCCCAGGGCAACAGAAGTCCCTGTCTCCTACAGGTTAAGCTGACCCAAAGACCAGAGGTCACAGGGTGGGGGCAAGGTCCTTGTAGGCTCAGAGGGCCAGGGTGGCAGCATCCTGAGGACTGATACCACCTCCTGGATTTGGCAGAGAGCCAGCGGGCATCACTGAACCCATTGGTCTTGCCCAGGGCTTCTCAGTGATAAGTAGGGCTGCCTCTACTGGGTTGGAGTGAGGCAAGCTGAGCCCTAGGAATTCCTGCCAGAGACTGTAGGGTGGGCCCCTAGGCTTGGGGCCACTACCCATGGGGGTGCTCTTTTCCAAAGAGCAACGCAGGAAAATGGCCTAGAGAGCTGGGTTAGCAAGGGCCAAGCTCATGATATGAACACTGGTTCCAGTCTGAGGGATTGAGTGGGCCTCAGGGTACGTGGGGGGTATGGGCTCTGAGCACTTGAGAAGGCTGCCCTGACTCCCTTACCCAAGGCCATGAGGATGTTGGCCTGAAGCCATTTCTGCCTCACGTAACCAGTCAGGCTGAGCCCCCAGGCCACAAGCTACAGGCTGGGGTGCTGCTAGAGACTGAGGGAATGGGGAGAAAGTAAGGAGAGTGGAGGATGGTCACAAACTCAGATCAGCCTCCAGAAATAGGGTCAGCTCCTGCCCCAGTGCTTTAGCCTCAGGAGGAGGGCCTGGCTCCTGGGGTGTCTGGGTGTTAGAGTGGCCTTAGCAGCACCGTGGTCCTTATCACCTGGGGCATGGCCTGTCACCCGGCCTCATCACCAAGACAGTCACCTCTAATTCACCTAAAGCCTCAAGCAGCCTTTGCAGAATGGGACTTTAAACAGTAGAGACAGGACATTTAAATGTTCAAGATGTGACAGCTGGGTCCTTGTGAGACCCGGCTGGGCCACAGCCCTGCCTGCAGCATGTGACCCTAAATCCTGGGTCTCAGAGGAGACCCTGATGTGTGGAGCAGGTTTCCTGAGGGATCTGCTGCATGCCAGCAGGGGAAACCCGTCTTGTTGCCCACTGTGTTGGCAGCAGGGGTCCTGTAGCCTTGGAGAACAGTGGGGTGGGGGTGGGGGGACATCTGACCAGCAGGTGTTGGCAAAGAGGGACCAGGACTGGTGGCTTCTCCCAGATGGGACCGAGAGCACTAGTGCTGGCTTCCCACAGAAGGTGCTGGGTCCAGCCAGGAACCAAGCTGTGGCGTCTCATGGACACCACAGGATGCAGTGACCACAGGGCCTCCACCTGGCATGGGGCCTGGCCTATTCCCTTGAGTAGGGAGCAGTTTACCCAGGACAGAAGGCTGGCATCTGGGTGCCAGGCACACACCCTGGGGCACAGCTGCCATCACTCCCTGCCCCACGTTCATCCTAGGCCAATGCGCCCACCACTTCAACTACATGACCCCTAGCCTAGGGCCCTGCTGGCTCCAGTGGGCAGTGACCAGAGCTGCCCCTCAGACCCTGGTGAGGAAGGGCCTGACTGGCCAGACTGAGTGGACAGAGAGGGCTCTAGGCTGCTCACACCCACTCCTGGACTGGCCGCTTATAGTAGGTGACAGGCTGAGGGCCTGCCTTGTTCTTGAACTGGAAGATGGTGTAGACCAGCACCAGGATGCAGAGGGACAGGATGCAGGGGATGACCACGGCCACCGCATTCACAGAGCCTGGCATGTCGTTGATGGTCACCATGATGTCCACGTCGTCCTGGGGCAGCCGCCGCTCCTTGCGCCGTTCCACCTCCTTCTGGTTGCAGCCCATCCAGTCACGCAAGATGTTGCGTGGGTAGCCGGGCTCCACACTCAGTTTCTGGTTGTCAAACTTCCAGTAGTCCCGGCCCTTGTAGAAATAGGTGTAATCTGCAGAAACACAGCCCAGCATCACCACCAGTCCCAGACACTTCGCTGCGCCTGCATGTGAGGGCGGAAGGTGCTGTGGCTGTGTGGAGGAGGGGCACCTCTCCCAGCTGGGGGAGTCCCAGAGGAGCTCTGAAGGAGGGGTGGGCTGGTGAGGTGGTGGGAACAGGGTGTTGGCACGCTTGGAGGTGGGGGAGCACAGTGCTTGGCACATCCTGCAAATAGTGTGTCTGGGTCATGGACTATCACCTGCATGGCTGCAGAAATGGGCACCCAGGACCTGGAGCAGCCCACCCCATATTCTCAAAGGTTCTGGGGAGCCATAGAGGGGCTTTAAGTCAAATTGGTAAATTCAATTTGTGCTTCCCAGACTGGACCTTCTCAGCCTGGGGCCATAGCTCTGTCACACTGTCCCCATAGGCACCCCCACATGGGTCAGATCAAGCCCCCAACTTAGGGCTTGGACAGCGCAATCTCCATAGCTCTAGTGCCTCAGTCCAGCTCCTGCCTGAGCCAAGGGAGGCAGGGAGCAAGATTTTTCCTCTTGACAGCAGACACCACCTCTTGGCAATTATCATGGATTTTTTTTTGGCTTGGCATACATCACTTCGAAACACTGATTACAAGATTTCTGGGACCCTTCTAGGGGAGGGGCTGGGAGGAAAGAAGGCAGCAAACTTGGGGGGCCACCCCAAGGCTCCCAGCAACAGCCTTAGCAGCAAGCCAGTCCACAGATGCAAAGCAACGCACTCAGACTCTCATTGGCCGGTTCCCCACCCTGGCTGGGACGTTCATTGGCCAGTCTTTGATGTCATCTGTTTCTGAGGCTCCCCAGAAAGTGAGACCACGTGTGTAAAGCATTAGGTACACAGGAGAGCCACCAGATAGCTGCTCTGTCCCTGGAGCTGTTGGCTTTCTTACCAGTGATCTCTCATCAGAGTCCTTCCCAATGACCTCCAAAGTGGCCCCCTCTGCCTAGTTGCTTTCTCACAGCATTTCTTTCCCTTACAGCATTTGTTGCTGTCTTATTTTTCTGCCCCTAGCCTGAGAAACAGGATGCAATGCAAGTCTTGTTCTCTGCTCCATCTTCAGCCCTCCCACACAACCTGGTTCTAAGTAATTACTGTGGAGTGAGTAAATCTGTCATTCCATATAAACTAAAACACATCAACAAGATGACAATGATGATAGCAGCTAAAGCAGATGGCATGGGCCATGTGCTAGGCATTGGTCTAAATGCTCTACATGATTTATTTAATCCTTACAAAATCCTATGAGGTAGGTATCAGGAAACTGAGGGATATAGATGAGGAAACTGAGGGAAAAAAGTGATTTGCCCAAACTCATAGTAAGTGGTGGAGATGGGATGTGAAACCAGCCCGGCTGTGCTTTTGACCATATCAGTGGAGACGTATTCAACAGACATTTATGATACCTACTCTGCGCCTGACCAGACCCAGCCTCTTCCTGAGAAGCTCCTACTCTGGCCTCTAGGAGGAGCTTAGAAAATGTCTTGTAAACAAAGAAAGCTTCTCTCTCCACCTCCCTGCCCTCAAACCCTGGGAAAACCATATCATTGCTTTTCAGATTTGATAACTCAAGGAGCTCCTGGAGTACACCTGAGGCCCATGAGGAATGCTGTTTGAAGGAATGAAGTCAGTCTATGAAAACACCTCTCAGTGGAGAATCATCCCTGGAGATAAGAAATTGTGACTTGGTGGCTGGTAAGAGAATTTTGCTGTGTGAACATGGGTGGATATGAGGCAGTTGTCTTTGCTCCCCGGCAGTGTTTCTCAAACCTGGGTACCCTGAGAGTGTGCTCGAGGGCTTTGCTGAGACCCCTCCCACCCTGCCGGGCCCATACATACATCCTTCCTTGCTGATGAAGGCCCCTTGGGGAGCCTGTGGGATGCCCTTCCACACGGTGATGGGCTTGGGGTAGCCAGGGTCTGTGGCCCGCCGCTCCTCGCTGTAGCGCCAGTACTGCTCGCCTTTGAAAAAGTAGGTCTTGCCCACGGGTTCCCAGCGCAGAGCCGTGTCAATGCCTTCTCGGGGCAGACAGCTGCCCAGCTCCCCCAGGCTGTGGGGGTACCCGGGCTCCACTGTCACCTCCTTAAACACCCAGTACTTGTCACCTGTGGCCAAGAGGAGCCCAGGATCAGCTTTGCCCAGTCACTCAATGCCAGAGGTTGTGGCTAGTGCCACTTGCCCATCTTATTCGGGGACTGAAGTCATTCATAGAGCCAGAGTACGACAGGGAAACAGCCCTAGGCCTGCTTGATGCCCTCAGTAGAAGACTGAGGCCTCTTGGCCCAGGCAAACCGTAGGGGGCAAGTGGCCAGAAGCCAGTCACAGATCCTGGACAACTCATTCCATGCTGCCCAGGCTCCGTGTTTCACCCTCTGTGACTTGTTCCTTTCTCCTCTCTGAGTGATCTCAGCCACTAGTACACACTAGTGTTCCTTGCTCCCCCCCTTCCACCAATGACACCCAACTCTGAGGCTCTAGCCCATAGCCACTCTCTCAGTGGACCAAGCACCAGACCTGGGTACCCTGTGGCCCATCTGCCTCTGGGCATTTCCAAATTGGCTTTCCAGAGTTCCCCATCTCCATCACAAGGGGCGCCCTCCCTCATCACCTTTCAGCCTCCCAGCGTCCCCAACAAGTCCTGGCATCACCTCTGGCCCTCTTTCCTCCTCCTCTAGCTGTCTTTAGCCTCCCTGGTATGGGCCTTGCGGACATCACTCTCCTCAGCTCCAGCAACCATTTCAGAAATGGCCTCCCGCCTCTGCACCTGCTCTCTGGTTCTCTGTTGCTCACAAACATTCAGTGAATTTCCAGTGTTGCCCTAAGAGATCAATATTAAATTCTGGCCTGGCAAACAAGGCTCTTCAGGCCTCTCCCCCCCAAACTACCTTTCCAGGCCACTTCTCACAGCTTTCCGATGAGGGGCTCCACGCGTGCACATTCCCACACTCCTCCTTTGCCCATGCTGTTCCCTCCCCCTTGGAATGCTTTCCTTGCTTCTCACTATCTGTATCTTACCTGACCCAGGTCAAGATAATTGAAGTGAAACCACCTAGCACAGGATGGGCTCGGGGAGGGCACAGGGTGGCCTGCTGCACATGTTAGGCCCCCCTCCCCCTTCCCTGACTGTTCCAGCCTCTGGGCTGTGTGGCCTCCTCCCTCTGGACTCTTACAGAACTGATAGGGTGGCCTTCCATGGAGCACTGATGGTCTTCAGTGGCCTGTACAACCCTCTACTTCATGTGGCTGGGGCTTGTTGCCCACCAACTTTGACACATACAGACCCTTAACAATCACTCCTTGACTTGATTTCCCCAAATTGTGCATTGCCTGCCTGAAGGGATCTGTCCTTTCAAATGTCAGTGTCTCTGTTAGGGCTAGAAGGACCCTTGGAGTACATCTGCCTCCCACCCCACTTCTCCCAGTTCACAGATGGAGAAAGGGGGTCCCGAGGACAGGGAACCATCCCAAGTCCCTCAGCACAGGCCACATTACCTTTGAAGAAGACAAATCTTCCATCAGCCCTTTCATAGGCTGCATCTATGCGGGCAGGCAGGCCCTTCCAGAACTGCTCGATCTGCATGGGGTAACCCTCCTGCACCCGGTTATTGCGCAGGCGCCAGAACCAGCGATCCTAGGAGTTAAGGAGGGGAGAGGAAGAGGCATAACCTGTGAACCCAGTGCTCAGCCCAAACCACCCAATACCTTCCCCTGTGCCCAGCCTTGAAGCCCTTTGTCAAGTCTGTCCATTTACTGCTTCTAACTTTCAAAGCCCTGTGAGGAAGACAGGATGCTCATTAACTCTCTTTAAGTAAGCCTCCTTAAAGGAGCAGCCTGAGACAGAGTAGACAGGTCTGATGGGAGCAGAGATGTGGAGGAGCAGAAGGGGTGATGCCAGGGCCTGGAGTAGCCACGTGAGGGCAGCAGAGAGTCACTGACATCAGCAGAGCCACTCCTAGGTCATTGAGCCTGGGCAGAGTGCCCTCCTCGTATGTGGCTGGCTCCATCCAGCAGGGCAAGGACCGTGGGAAGCAAACCCTCTTTTGCTTGGGGGAATTCCCCCAAGACCTGGATGTGAATTCAGATTCCTCCACTTATAGCTGCATGACCTTGGGCATAGTACTTAAAGAGCCTCACCTGCAAATGGGGGAATAATGAGGGATCAGATGAGAGAATATAGGCAAAGTGCCTGGAACAATAGGGGGCACATAGTCGATGTTGAATAAATGGCAGGTCAATAGGCCAAGAGTGTGAGAAAAGCCCTCCTCTTCAAACTGGTGCCTGGCCTCTCTGCAGCCCCTGGCTGGTGGGCATACTGGGCCAGGTCTACACCCTCCCAGGACCTCAGTTTTCTTATGTGTAAGTGAGGATGATAAAACCCAGACTTGCCTAGGAGCTGTTCAGTTGGAGGATCCAAGAGTACAGAAGAATGAATGATTCGTAAACGATGGTACAAAGGCTAGGAACGGTTTTTCAAAGGTGTTTTACAAAGCACTTTTACATCCAGTTTGTTTAAACCAGTGATTCCCAAAGTGGGCGCTACCGCCCCCCGGTGGGCGCTGCAGCGATCCAGGGGGGCGGTGATGGCACTAACTGCTATTAAAATTTAAAAAAAATTAATTTCCAGGGGCTGAGTAATATTTTTTCTGGAAAGGGGGCAGTAGGCCAAATAAGTTTGGGAACCACTGGTTTAAACCTTATTTTGACTTTCACTACTCTGGTTAAGTTGATCTGAGATATACAGAGTCCTAAGGAATGCCCAGTGGTTTCCTAGAGCCACTCGGCGAGAGGCAGGCTGACCCAGGTGCCTGATTCTTGCTCATTGCTCAAACCTTGCTGGGGAGAACTCCACGAGGGGAGTGGGGAAGTCCTCCACGACCTCCCAGTGTGATGGAGACGTGCTGCCCAGACCCCCTTCATTGGAGGGCTTACTGCCTCCGAGGCTGGGAGTGTGGTCCGCAGGCAGTTTTCAACTGCCCGCCTCTCAGGATGGCCTCCGCTTCAGAGAGTTCCCCCCAGGTCACATCCTTCCTTATCCAGTGACTGAATGAGGCAGGGGGTATAAAGTTACAGCCATGTGGAGCCCAATATGGGGTAATTCTGACCAGCCAACCTAGCTCCAGAGCCCCCTGTGAGGGTGGCTGAGTCTGCAATGGGCCTAATGGCTGCTTATAACTATCATCTTCTGCCCAATCCTGCTTCCCTCCCACAGATGCTGATCCCAAAAGTACTCCCTCATCAAAATCCTGCATTCCAAACATGGTCTCAGAGTCTGCTTCCTTAGAACCCAGTGCAACACACCAAGCAGGCTTCCCCACCAGTCAGCCCCTGGCTAAGGTGATAGGACCAGGCAGGTGACAAGATGTAGCCTGGCTTGCTTTCTGTCAGGCACACCTGAGTGCCAGCCTCTCAGCCCTGGCAGGATCGGGAGACAGACACAGCCACCACTGTGCCAGCCCCTACTTCATAGCCATGCATTATTTGATCTTCATACACCTTCGTTAGGGGAATGACCCCTAGTTTTCAGATGGAGAAACTGAGGTCCAGAGAAGGGAGGTGACTTGCTTAGTCACAGACCAGAAGCAAGTCTCCAACACTTCCAAGAGGTAACCCTGAGGTCACCAATTTCCCCCCCTCCCTCTTGATTCACTCAGCAGCACCAGGAAGAGACCCCGTGTCCTGGCCATTGGGCCAGCTCCCAGCTAGGCCCCACAGCAGGCCGAATCCCAGAGCAGCAGCCTGCTCCATGGTGGGAAAGACATGGGAGGGGACCCCTGGAAGGTGCCTGTTGACTGGGCCTACCTTAAACACAAACATCTCGCCCCGGAAGAGAGCCACTGTGTTGAAGTTGCCATCACAGATGTTGGGCTTGGCACCGGGTGTGGATGGCCTGTCCCCGAGGGGTGGCCGAGGAGGCCTGGGCTGGCGCTCATGCTTCCTCTCAGACGGTGAATGGATCCTGCGGACAGGGAGCGTGGGGAGGGGCCTTGTGGGCTCCAGGGGCTCGGCTGGGGGTCCTGGAGAGAGGGGCTGCATCTTAGAAAGGGGCCAGCCATTCCCTGCCTCCCCATCACCTAGGCAGCCTGAGACAGGTCTGTCACACTCCAGCATCCTGTCCTCTCTCCCCATTTTTCAGTCCCCAATCTTTGAGAAAATAGGTGAAAAATAACCATCGAATGAGACTCTCATTTGTCCACCCTCAAATCTGATATGTTCTCTTTCTTCTCTCCTTTTGTGAGAGAACAAGTCCCTTCTTAGGTTCAGTGACCAATACCCTCGTCTCTGCTCCCCTCCACACCCGCTGGCCCACTTCCTCACATCCTCCATTCTTTGTCCTGCTTCAACATGGCTCTGCCCGTTACCCACTGCACTGCTCCGTCAAGATCACCAGTGGCCTCTATGTTGCCAGATTCAGTGGTTACTTGGTTCAGACTTTGATGTGCATATGAGTTCTTCAGGGATCTTGATAAAATGCAGATTATGACTCAGAGGATCTGGTGGGGCCTGAGATTCTGCATTTCTTTAAGCTCTCGGGCGATGCTCATGTTGCTGTCTGAGGCCCACACTTGTAGCAAATCATAGAAACCCTTTCCTCAACACACTCTTCTCTCTTTTCCGGAACCCAGCACTGTCCTGGTTTCCCTCCTACCCGGGGCTGTGCCTTCTCAGCCTCCTTTACTGGCAGCCTTTCCTCATTCCCCTCTACTCGAAAGGTGGCGGTAGCCCTGGGTCCTCTTCTTTTCTCTCTCTCTATTTTGGTCCCTAGGTCAGAGCTTCTCAACTTGCATAATAGGATCACCTCGGGAGTTTAAAAAACTCTAGATGCTTAGAAGGCACCCCAGACCAATTAAAACCAAATCTCTGGGGTGAGGGCCTGGTATTGGTATTTTTTATTGAAAATCGAAGGTGATTCCATTGGGCAGCCAGGTTAAGAATCACCACCTAAGTGATCTCATCCAGTTCACAGCTTTAAAGACTCCCTTAGAGTCCAATAGGATGTCCTGGGATGACAGAAATGTTCTATATCTGCACTGTCCAGGACAGCAGCCTCTCGCCACACCTGGCTACCGAACACTTGAAATGAGTGACTAGTGTTAGTGTGACAGAGGAACTGAAAATTTTATTTTATTTAAGTCTAATTAAGATAAATTTCAATTTCAGTAGCCACATGTGGCTATATTGGACACCAAAGATTTCCAAATCAACATCCCAGCCCAGATCTCTGAGCTACAGACTGGTCAGTCCTGTGGCCCCACAATTACAAAAGCCAGAAACCTTGTTGTCATCCTCCTCACCCCATGTCTCATCAATCAGCAAATCCTGGCCATTCTATTTTCAAAATACCTTCCAGTTACCACCACCCCTGTCCAGTCCTCTACAGCTTAGCCTATGGAGATCCTGCCTAACCTTCAGGGCTCTGGGTGGGGCCACCTCCTCTGTGAGGTCCAGAGAGAGCCCATCTATGCTCCATAGCCTGGGGGCAGTGGGGCACGGGAGGTGGGGCAGGGGAGGGGGTTGTGCTATGTGGACCTGCATTTTCTCAAGTAAACTGGTCTTCCCATCTCCACCTACTGGACAACAACAAGAATTTCACATACCAGTGTTACCAGAGAACTGGGTGGGTGGTATGGTAGCAGGCTTCTCATATTTTATCAAGGTACCAGCCTAGCTTCTTAGTTTTTCTTGTTTAAGAAAAAAGCTCTGGTTATGATATTCATCACATTGTATCACTGATACTTGGGCAGATGTGTGGATCTCCTGGCTAGAGGTGGGACCCCTTGAAAGTGAACCTCAGGAGGCTAGAGGGAGGTGTGTGGAGGGGCAAGGCAAGAGAGAAGAGGGAGTAGGTAGCATACCCTCCCAGTAGCATACCCTCCCCTATTTCTCAGGGTGAGGGCAAGGGGGGATGGTGGAGGTGGGGAGGTAGCTTTGCCCACTCTGGTTAAGCAAGGACATCTTCAGTCTCTAAAGGTCAGACAGCTGTCAGAGACACAGCAGCTATGTGGATGGATGGCAGTGCTCCCCCTTCCTTTCCCCGCTCCCCATGACAGGCAGCCACAGCCCAACCCCACAGTAGAAGTGGTGGCCCCCTCTCCCCTGCCACACACCGTAAATCTTCTGGATGCCCTGGAGATCATCCTGAGGCAGCTTGAAGTTGTGTGTCTCCATGTACTGGTAGAAGGGTGCCATGATGGCGCTGGGGTCGTTGGAGTGCTCCAATCCCAGTGCGTGGCCCAGCTCGTGCACAGCCACCAGGAAGAGGTCATTCCCTGTGGAGAGGGGGATGGGGAGGTGCCCAGGGCACCCACTTAGATATCAGACAGTCAATCCATTATGTTGGAAAACACCCATAGACTTTGTGCTAGGCCCCGTGCCGGACACTGGATCACACCCTGCCTTCCAGAACTCTCGACATCATGGGGGAAAGGGAAGGAGAAACGAAATAAGTGAAACTAGTGTTCCAGGTGCTTTAATAGGTGTCTATAGAGTGAGGATATCAAGAAGGAGGAGTCATTTAAACTTGAAGGAAGGTGTTCCATGAAGCTTCATCAAGGTGAAGCATAAGTTGAGTGTTGAAAGATAAGAAGTTAGTTAGGAGAATGGATTCAGGAGGTAGGAGAGGAAGATGGGTGGGGATGGCATTCCTGGCAGACGGAAAGCTATAAACAAGATCCAGGGACAAGCAGTTTCATTCCACTTGGCTCTGGAACAAAGCACGAGGGGAGGGCCAGAGAGCGATGAGGTCAGCCAGGCTGGCAGCAGGCTATGATGCCATGCAAAGGAATTTGGATTGGCTCCTTGGCCAGTGGGGGGTTTAAGCAGGAGTGGGGGTGGTGACACAATGACATCACTCTGGCTGTGGTTGGAGGAGGGTTTAGAGGGCGGTGAGACCAGAGGCAGGGGGATCAGGGGGTCAGTTCGGAAGCTGTACAAGGGCCCAGGTGGGAGACGAAAGGGGCCTGAGCCAAGGAGGAGGTAGTGGGACAGGCAGAGGGGAGTCCTGGGCGATAGGTTGGAGGTCAGCTTCAGGAGACCCAGGGGCAGGCCGGGCTCTGGGCCTGTGGCAGCTCTCAGTCCAGCAAGACCTCAGATCTAAACTGAGTTATCATTGAGATCAAAGACAGGAATTCAAATTTGAGTAAAAAACAATAAGGTCCAGGTGCTGAAAGTGGGGCATGGGATCTCAAGTATGAAGCTGAGGCAGCCACATAGCATCGTGGTCTTGAGCACATGCCTGAGTGGAGCAGATCACGTTAATGCCCAGCTCTACCCCCACCAGCTGTGGGAACTTGGCCAGAAGGCCTATCCCCTGAGCCTGGGGAAATCATCCTACCTTATAGGGTGTGTGAGGGCATAGTTGCTCTTGTTACCATACATAAGGTAGGGAAGGTTGGTGCCTAGAATAAGCCTATTGACCAGAAGGGAAGCACAAGGCCATTGGGGTTCTAGCAACCAGGTCCTCTTAAAACCAACTCCCCTGATCAGGCCTGGGACAGGGAAAAGCCTGATTTTAGTGGGATTAAATAACCCCAACTTCGTGAAAGAAATGCAAGGGGCTGGGAGTTGGGCAGGCTGTTGTTTCAACAGTCCTGACTCCTGTCTGTCCAGTTACAGATCCCTGCTTCCCTTGATCTCTGGCATTGGAATGCCCTTGAGCCCTGCCTCTTACTGCCCAGCTTTGAGGCATGTTGCAGTCCATTCCTGCCACCTTCAAGTACAGGGGAGGCTGCCAGGAGCCCAGAAGGTTGTCAGGAGTCATAGTGTCCACTCTGGCCCCAGTGTCACTGGCAAAGATACCCTACCCCAGTGCAGCCAAGGGCCCTGTGAGGGTCAGATGGGGTTGAGGATTGGCTCTGGCCTTTCTGGCTAAAGTCTTGGGAAAAGAGAAGAACCCCATGGGGTGGACCCAGACACGTGTATGCCTGCTGCTCTGCTGACACCACCAGTTTTTTCAGCAAAGGGGGCATGGGCAAGATCAGCACAAGGTTGGCCAGGAGCCTGGGGCTGCCTTCTGCTGGGGAAGGGCAAGCTGGCATGAGGAGGCCAGGCTGCCCCCAGTTCCTTCCTCAGGTCCTGGTCCCTCTGGCAGCAGGAAAGGGTGAGCTCATCTCTGAGCTCCATCCCAAACAAAGGCGGCTGCTAGAGCCAGCGGAAGGCAGCTCTGCTTCCTGGGGTCCAGTCTTGGCTCTGCTCCTAGCCTGCTCTTCCACCTGGGACAAGCTGTGTAGGCCTCTGTCTCCTGACCAGGCTCTTCCTCGGGGGTATCCACAAGGATCTCTGCTGGAAACCAGGGAGCAGGGCTCCAAGCTCCTGGCCAGACTAAACCTTTGTCCCTAGCCTGTGTCTGTTACTCTGTGAGCCTCTGTGCCTGGGTCTCTGTAGACAACAGGAGTAAGTCCTTGAAGGAAAGGGCCTGGGGGTTTGATCCAGGGACCAAAAGGCAGAGAACTGGGGAACTGGCATCTTATTGCACAGAAACCCAAGAGACCTGCCCTGAGGAGATGGAAGGAGAGGGAACAGGAGCAGGAGAACTCCCTGGAGCGTGTGAGGTGGAAGAGCAGAGGTATGGAGAAGACTCCACTGGTCAGAATGGCAGTTCCTGGAGTCATACTGCCATGAATCCCAGCACTGCCATGTCCTAGCAGGGTGACAGGTTAAATCTCTTTCTCTGTAAAATGAAGGGAATAATGGTACCATCATAAGAACTGAGGTGAAGATTAATGAGGCAAAATATGTAAAGCATTCATATAGGCTCCTGTCACAAAACTATCACTGTTAATTAGCTGGGTCACATTGAGCTGTGTGTGAGGACCAGCATCCCAGTAGGGAGTATTCCTGTGGGCTGGGAGCTCAAAGCCTTGGGCCTCTTAGCAAGTATATACCTTGTGTGTGCCTCATTTCCTTCTCTTAGGACCTCCCAATTTGGCGAGCCCCATCTGATTTACTCCTCCAACACCCAAAAGTTTACAGAATTTCCCTTTTCCTCTGTTCTTTTGCCAGCGCCGTCCCCTCCACCTGGAATAGCCTTATTTCTTCAAAGTTCAGCTCAATGCCATATCTTCCAGGAAGCCCTCCTTGATTTCTCCCACTGACAGTGAATGCTGCCTCTTCTGCACTCTACCAGCGGTTTATCTGAACTATCTCTATGGCACTGACCACTTTCCATTCTACATGATAGTATCTAGCACACACTCTCATTCATCCTCGGACTGTAAGCTCCTTGAGAGCAAGCTTTGTGTTTGAGAGGGCTCGGTGACAGCAGTCAGGACAGAACAGTGCCAAAAGTTCAATATTTTTTCAGGTGTGGTCTTTGGACCACCTGCAGCAGAACCACCTGGGGTGACTTTTAAAAATTCAGAGTCCTGGGTTCACTCCTGGCTCTGCCACTTACCGACTGTGTGAATTTCTTAACCACATGAAACTTTACTTTCCTCATCTACAAAATGGATGTTATGATCCCTGCTGAGTCTAGCTCCCAACGTGGGGAAGAGTCACTGAAATAATTGCAAAAGGGCTCTACCCTGTGAATTGCTGGTCTGGATGACTCTTCCTATCTTGTCACCTTCCCTTGGGCTGGGCTCCCTCCCCAGCAGAGCTTAGTGAATTCTGCTGACTTCACTACTTGACTCATTGGAAAGAGTTGAGGACAGAAAGTACCTGGAAGTAGTCCCCAAGACCAGCTTAAAGGCGTGGTGGGCTAGATTACCTTTCACCCAGACTCCAACAAGCTGGAGAATCAGAATCACCTCTACCATCCAGTGGTTCTCCAGAGCAGGGGTCGCCAACCGGTGGTCCGTGGACCACGGGTGGTCTGTGAGGTCCGAAAGGCTGGCGACCGCTGCAACAGAGAGCCTTTTAAACACACAGGTGGAGGAGATTATGATTCAGGAGTTTTGGGTTAGAGTTTAGGCAACTTTTTCCCCCTCCTTTTTAAAGTTCCCCAGGTAAACTTTTTAAAGGTTGGGTCAGGCTGACACACCTGAGCCAACCAGTCAACCTTAACATCACTAGAAGTGGGGCAATCTGCGTCACATGTGCTTCCCAATGTGATGGATTAGGGAGGACCAGCACCACCTAGGACAGTGGTTCTCAACCTGTGGGTCGCGACCCCTTTGGCGGTTGAACGACCCTTTCACAGGGGTCGCCTAAGACCATCCTGCATATCAGATATTTACATTATGATTCATAACAGTAGCACCATTACAGTTATGAAGTAGCAACGAAAATAATGTTATGGTTGGGTCACAACATGAGGAACTGTATTTAAAGGGCCAGAAGGTTGAGAACCACTAACCTAGGAAGTATTCTTGCCAAAAAAGTGAACCTGAATCTGGCCTGTTGATCTAATTAACAATATTCAGGAAATATGGGGAAAAAAGACAAGTTAAAAGTGAACCTGAATCTCATCAAGCCAAATAACTATACTCAGGAGAAGTGACCCAGTTTCTTTAATATATATGGTTGTTGGGGCACAGGAAAAGGAAGCAAGGTGACTTTTAAATTAAAAGGGCCTTAGGAGACACATCAGTCTTGTATGATGTATGCATGGTGTTTGGATCCTGATGCAAGCAAACAACTATAAAAGACATTTTTGAAGTAACTTAAGAAAATGAACACAAACCGGGTATTTGATTTTAAGAAATTATTGTTAATTTTGTTGGGTTTGATATTGATTTTGTGGTTGTGTAAAAAGTAATCAGAGGTATTGATAGATACCAAAGTATTTACAGGTGAAATGATTATGCCTGGGATTTTCTTTAAAATACCTTAGCCAAGGATCCTGATGCAAGCAAACAACTATAAAAGACATTTTTGAAGTAACTTGAGAAAATGAACACAAACGGGGTATTTGATTTTAAGAAATTATTGTTAATTTTGTTGGGTTTGATATTGATTTTGTGGTTGTGTAAAAAGTAATCAGAGGTATTGATATATACCAAAATATTTACAGGTGAAATGATTATGCCTGGGATTTTCTTTAAAATACCTTAGCCAAGCCTGGCCAGCATGGTTGAGCATCGATCTATGAATCAGGAGGTCAGGGTTCCATTCCTGGTCAGGGCACATGCCCGAGTGGTGGACTCGGTCCCTGGGGGGTGAGTGGGGGTGCAGGAGGCAGCCAATCAATGATTCTCTCTCATCATTGATGTTTCTCTCTCTCTCCCTCTCCCTCCCTCTCTGAAATTAAAAACAAACAAATCTCAGCCAAAAAATAAAAGTGTGTGACGGGAGAGGGTAGATAAAATAGGAATGACATAATGTTGATAATTGTTGTTGCAGGGTAATGGGTGCCTGGGGGTTCATATTGTCATTCTCTCTACTTTTGTGAATTTGAAAATTTCCATATTGGAAATATAGAATAGAGAAGAAAGCCATGAAACAAAAGTTCCAAGGGGAACACTGCTCCCTCCCTCCCTGAGTTTATGTGGAAATTAAACAAGATAATATACAGGTGCTCAATAAATCTTGGTTCCTATCCTTCCCTTTCCAAAGCCGTCCTAGGGCAGCTGGTGCCTTTCCAGCTTGCCATCCAGCTATTACTGTGGTTATGAGAGGCATCTGGACAGTTCATGCTTGGTTTTCCAGAGCATAGAAAAGTCCTGACTCTTGTCCAAAGAAGACATTGGCTACCTTGGAATTTTTGTCAGAACCAGCAGTCTTTCATCAGGATGGGGTGGGACAGACAGGAAGGTGCTGGGATGGTCCCAACTCCTTCCCACCCACACCACCAGCAATGCTTAGGCTTTTGAGACTGGGTCCAAGGTCTCCAACAGCAGGGAGTGGATGTGGGAAATGCAACCCCCAGAGCTGGGAAGGGGAGGGCAGAGGAGGAGGAGTGTCTTCCCGGTGCTTCCTGGACAACAACCTTTGAGGGTTTCCTTTATCTCTATCAGGGCTATGACTTAAAATCTCACAAGCTGGCATAACACTGGGGCTAAAAAATGTTAGTTTTCTTCTCCTCACACCTTATCAGTTAGCACAGACCGCCATTCCTTGACACGGATCCAAGAATAAGAATGAGATAAAGGACAGGAGTCCTGAAAGCCAGGAAACCACCTCCAGGACAGAAGGGAAGGGACACTGGGGCAGAGGAAATGGAGCTAGGTAGGAAAGAGGACACAGGTTCGAAGGGGGCAAGGGGCAAAGAGAAACTGGATTTATAATTTTGCCTGGGCTAAGCTTTGGCCGAACCACCTCCTGAACCACCCTTTGAAGGATGAGCCAAGAGTTGATGATCCCTGATCCATGCAAAGATAAGTACAAATTTTTCTCAAGGAGGTCATCCCCATTTACAAACACTAGGCACAGCCTCTGAGGAAATGGGTTTTAAAGTCTGCTCTCAGCCTGAGCTTCGCCAAGGAAAAGGAATGCCCAGTGTTTCCCAAACTTGCCTAGGCTTAAGCATGAGAATCTCCAGGGGGAGGGCCTGGAATCGATGTTTTTAACAAAAGCCATGGTTGAGTCTTACGATCAGACAAGTTAAAGACACTCTGGGGTTGGAGACAGTGTTTCTTGAGGTGATGGAACCCCTGCATCAGAAGGGATTTTATCAGAATACATGCAGATTCCCAGGCCCAGAATCAGAGAATCAGAATAGCAAAAGGTTAGGGGCCTGGAACCTGGAGTCTGCATTCTTTAAAAAAAGTTCCTAGGTGATTTTGGTGTGCTATGGAGTCATAATGCTCAGGTTCAAAGCCTTATTTCATCATTCACCAACTATGGGACCTGGGGTAGGTGACCTAATATTTCTCTATATAGTTTACCTATCTGTAAAATGGGGGTAGTAATATATATATAGACTATGTAAAAAGCACTTGACAGGGCCTTAGAATACTAACATACTAGTTGTCTATTACAATCTAAAATAGAATAGAATAGGATCCTCTGTCCCTTTCTCCCCTAGCCTCCTTCTGCATTTTCTTGGCATTTCTGCTATATCCTCCAGTACAGGCTGCCTGTGCCAGGGTGATTTAGGTACAATATCTGTCTCCCCGACTTGACCCTGGGCTTCCAGAGGGCAGAGACCATGTCTTTTTTTTTTTTTTTAAATGTTTGGATCCCCTGGGTTGTGTATCATGTTTCATTAAAGTTGGAAGGAACCTCAGAGATCATCTAATCCAGTCCCTCATTTTACAGGTGAGGAGACTGGGGGTGAATTAGTTGCCCCTAGAGGCATAGCCAGGTGGTTGAACTATGGTTTGAGCCCTGGCATTGCCACTTATCTGCCAGCTATGCCACTTCAATCCCAAACTCTTCATTTAAAAATGATCAACACTTGCCTGCTTACTAAACATGTGCCTTATGAGTAAATATAGATGCGGGACTCTTTTGCAAACTGAAAAATATTGTTACTGTTACTGTACAGTACTAACTCTGGATCCATGTAATATTCATTAAATCATAGTGATGAAGAGCAAAGTTATCCAAGAATGTTAGTTACCTGTGAGGTTGACATAAGGGAGTGAGCCAGTCACGTCATCCCATAAGATGGCCTTTGAAGCTGTCGTCAGGCCAGAGCCTACCGCTTTCAGACCCCACATTCAGCTTTAGTTACTTTTTAACCCTTTTCCCCAGCCTCTGATTCATTACTTTATCCTCTTATTCATGCTCCAACTCCTCCCTTCTGACTCAGCCCAGTTAGACCATTTACCAAGTGATCTCACCCATCTCCATGGCCTGGACCCTGGTGGAGCACATGTTGAATATTATGAGGGGACATAGTTCCTACCCTTTTAGGTTCTTAGTTCTTGGACAAGAAGCTCTAGAAACTAGGAACTCATCTCATCTATGGTATCCTCCAGGTTCTTGCTCGGGGCTTCTGAGAAACCCAGGATTGATCCCCTGTTCCCTCATTGCCTTACCATCATGGTTGGCGTTTCCTAATGTCCATGGCTCATCTGAGTCAAAGTGAGTGTCTCCTCCAATTCCGGGGCCAGGGAAGTAGGCGTGAGCCAGGAATCCGCCTTCCCCATCAAATGGGGAACTGTCTCCATGGAAGCCAGAAGCAAAGAAGATCATGATGTCTGCCTCCTTCCGGTCACTTTTGATCTCATGGTATGGCACCTCTTCAAAGGTCAGTGGGGTCACCTTCTGCCACACATCAAAAGCCTGGCGAATAGCTTTCCGTGTGTCTAGCTCACCCACCTTTGGGGTATAGTTGTGAATGCTGGTGAGAGAGGGGAAGGAATTAGAATAGGGAGGAACAGACAGCGAGTCAAAGACTAACAGAGCTAAAAGGAACATCAGAGACCATATGGCCCTATAATCTTCAAATTTTGACACCTAGAATTCTGCTTAGGTGCCCTAGGGGTTGAGGGATAGGCTGAGTAGGCAAGGCTCTGGGTCCCAAACCCTGCCTAAATCAGAGTATCTTTGCTTTAATCAGTGCTTTGTATTTAGTCTCTGACAAAGTCTGTGTTAAATATAGGATTTCCCTTCAATTTTTAGAAAAAAAAAATAAGTTGGTGGATAGTCGTTTCTAAAATTTATGTTCCTCTGCCTGGCTGGTGTGGCCCAGTGGTTGAGTGTTGACCTATGAACCAAGAGGTCACAGTTTGATTCCCGGTCAGGGCACATGCCTGGGTTTCGGGCTCTATCCCCAGTGGGGGAAATGCAAGAGGCAGCCGATCGATGATTCTCTCTCATCATTGATGTTTCTTTCTCTTTTTTAAAATATATTTTTATTGATTTCAGAGAGGAAAGGAGAGGGAGAGAGAGAAACATCAATGATGAGAATCATTTATTGGCTGCCTCCTGCACGCCCCCCACTAGGGATTGAGCCTGCAACCCAGGCTCAATAATTCACATTCTCCCAATACATACAATATGTGCATTTATAAAAGTTATAAAAGTAGTTAAACAGTGGAGAGTTTAAATGAAATGTCTCTTACAAACACTCCACACATTTGGCACCAACTACTGCTAGTCTATTTAAAAGCTGGTATAGGGCAGTATATGATTTAATCAGCTATAGATTTAGCTATTTAAGGCTACTATATCCATACTGCATGGTTACTCATAATGGAATATCACTGTTTCTGGATGTTCTGCCTCATGAACACCTGGAAGAAGGATTATTCACCCATTCTATAGGCAAGAAAACTAAGGCTCAGAGAAGTTGGGTTCTAGAAGTTAAGGTCAGGGTTGTGTTAGAATTCAGTTCTTTTTCTTGATCCACTCTACCTCTTCAGGAGACCCTAAGAGTCTCTCCAGTTTCTAACCCAGATTCTTCTTCAGTTTCTTTTTCTTGTCAGATTTCTGAAAGAATCCTGTTCTAATCTCTACAGCTTGTCAGCAGGAGAGCCCTTAGTTCCACTCTAAGATCTCTATCTTAAATCCTACCTCAGAACCCAGGAGATCTACCCAAGATGGACTCAGAGTCTTGTGAGGTGCCAACCAGAGCCCACCTGAGCCTGCCCTATGTCTGGCTCTTGTCCCAGCCCCAGTCTGAATTCAGACATCTGAGAAAGCTGTGATGGGCTCCATCATCCCTGCTCTTGATCACTGGTGTGACTTAGAGGCTGATCCTGCTTTGTCCTTGGTTTTCCTAGACCAGTGGTCGGCAAACTGCGGCTCGGCAAACCGCAGCTCACGAGCCACATGCGGCTCTTTGGCCCCTTGAGTGTGGCGGTATTTTGTGGAAGACCCACACTCAAGGGGCCAAAGAGCAACATGGGTTTGGGAGCCCCGGTTTTCCGACCACGGCCTTAGACAGTCAGCACATGACACTGTTGTGATTTAGGTCCCAGTTCTCTATAGTCCTTAAAAAACAACTGGAAACCTGTGCTGGGAATCTCGCATGAAGTCTATCAGACTAAGTGGGAAAGGGATGTAGATCACAGATAGTGTCGTTTGTCAAGTGGTGATAGGAGAATGAGTTCAGCTATGGTTCTTTATTCATTGCTGAAAGTTACTGAACAATCCATGCCCCCACTTTCTGTAGCTAACATGATTGGAATGTGACAGGACCACAAGGAAGAACCCCTAAGACCCAATAAATCTGAAGGTTGATATAGCATCCTCTGGAAGCCAACAGGATGACAAAGTCATAGGCCAGTGGTTCTCAACTTCTGGCCCTTTAAATACAGTTCCTCATGTTGTGACCCAACCATAAAATTATTTTCGTTGTTACTTCATAACTGTAATGTTGCTACTGTTATGAATCGTAATGTAAATATCTGATATGCAGGATGGTCTTAGGCGACCCCTGTGAAAGGGTCGTTCGACCGCCACAGGGGTCAAGACCCACAGGTTGAGAACCATTGTCATAGGCTCTCAGCACCTGGCCCACGCCCTGATCACAGACCCACCTAAGGTGTCAACCTCTGAAACTCAGGCCAGGAAAAAGAGAATGAAGGTGGAGCCAAAACCAGGGAGGAAGAGAGGAAGTCAAAGCACCTGTAGGTGATGTGTTTCTGCCTCCACTTCTGTCCAGTGAGGGCATAACGCTTGTTTCTCCGCCTACGGCTCAAGTGGGGGTGATCAGGAACACCACATCGGGGTTTCTTCATCCATCTGGGCAGAGAGAACACACATACACACCTACACTGTGGTCACTGAGCACTCTAGGAAGATACTGCACAGTCTCCAGTCCCAGTTTGAATTGCTGTGTGGGTCACTGGAACCCTGGCTTTGATGGGTTCCCCAATAGGAACACAATCGACTCATTCATTAATTCATTCACTCACAACTGAATATGCGGAAACATTGCTGCATGTGAGACTGGGAGTCAGGACAATGGGCTTGATAGTTCCAGCTCTACCACTAATCATAGGAGCCCAGGCAAGCGACTGAATCAGCATGAGCCTGTTTCCTCATCTGCAACATGAAAATTCAAGTTCTTGCTGTCCTTAGGTTGTAGAGAGCCTCAAAGGAGGACATATATGTGAAAATGCTCTGTAAATGTTATTGAATCGTATCACTTCCTGGTTTGAAACCCTCCAATGATCCCCCCAAACACCTAGAATTAATTCGAAACTCCCTACCTTGGCTCACAGGGCCCCCTGTGATCTAGTCCCTGCCTACTTGTCTGATGACACCTTTACCCTTTTTCCCCTCATATATTCTACTCCAGCCACAGTGACCTTCTTGCTGTGCCTTGAACATGCTAAGATTATGCCCACTGCAGGGTCTTGGCAATTGCTGTTCCCTCTGCTTGCAACACACTTCTTCACATGGTTTGTCTCCTTACTTCATTTAGGTGTCTGCTCACATGTCACCCCTTCAGAGACGACTTCCCTGCCCACCTTCTCTAAGGTTTATCCTGCTTAACTTTCTTCATAGCATTTACCATTCATGGAAATTATACATTTGCATTTTTATTTATTCTTTTTCTCTCCCAGATTCTAAGCCACATGAGGACAGGAACCTTGCCTGTATTCCCAGTGCTGGCACAATGCCTGACACAGAGGTGGTCAATAGTGATTTGCTGAGTGCGTGAGAACCGTTCAACAGTAGAACGGCATAGCTTGGAAGACAGCAAGTGCCCTGTTGTTCAAAAAGTGGCTAAACAACTGTAGGACACAGAATTTTTAAATTTATTAGTCTGTTGTCTCTAGTAAATGGGAAAATCTTTGAGGACAGGAACTGTATCATATTCATCACTGTTTCCCCAGAAGTTAACCCAGTGCCTGGAACTAAAGTAAATCCTGGTAACTGTTTATTACCAGGTAAAGTTATATCAGGGAACAGTAACCTTGGACATTATTGGGATATAAAAGAGGGGCCAGGGTAGGAGATTTAAAAGCTCATGGCTGATTGGGGCCCAGGCCATCCAAGTCCCTGCTGGCCTAATGACTCTCTCACTAAAACAATAGCTTGGGATTGCTAGAAGGGAAAACAGTCTGACCTCATTTGCAGTTGTTGAAAGCAGTTGCTACTGGCAATATAGAAAAGAGACAGAATATTATAACCAAATAAAATATAGTGTCTACATCATCTACAGTGTCCTATACTCAGAAATCAATAATGGAAAACACAATAATAACAATACCATGCATTGGAATAAAAATTGATAATTTTCACAGTGTTTGCATTAAAAAAATTTTTTTTTCTGATTCTCAATATAACTTAGTGAGGTAACCAGAAATTATTTATTCTCTGCTTTATAGGTGAGGGAAAAGAGACACATAAATTGAGTAACTTGCAAAATATAACAAAACAGTGAGTTGGGGCTAGAACTTAGTTGAATGAATAAGTGAACTATTATTTTTCATGCTTAGCACAAGGTTGGGCTAAAGGAACTGTTTGTTGAATGAATGAATGAATGAATGAGTGAATGAGTGAATGACTAATGTGTGACGTTTTCCAAGGTAGGCACTGAAAAATAGTACTTTGGCCCTGGCCAGTTTGGCTCAGTGGATAGAGCGTCGGCCTGCAGACTGAAGAGTCCCAGGCTCGGTTCCAGTCAAGGGCATGTGGCTTGGTTGCAGGCACATCCCCAGTGGGGGGTGTGCAGGAGGCGGCTGATCGATGTTTCTCTCTCATCGATGTTTCTGGCTCTCTATTCCCTCTCCCTTCCTCTCTGTGAAAAATCAATAAAATATATTTAAATAGTACTTTGAATTGCTAATCTAGCTTCCTTTCACTGACAGTCCCTGGGAAAGGAACCAGGAGCCATCTCTGCAATGACAGGGCCGAGCAAGGCCTGGAAGGTTCCCCGGGGGGGAAATAGGCCCAGAGAAGGCAGTGGACTGCCCAAGGCCACAGAGCTGAAGCCAAAACTAAGGTCTCTAAATTTTACCCCAACACCTTCCCCATTCTTGTTTTAAGTGTGACTGCCTTCTTCCTGTCCAGGCCTCCAAATCAGCATTCCCCACCTTCCTGCAAAGAGGGGGCGGGGCAGAACCGCAAGTGGGAAATGCCATCCTCCTCCCTCAGATCATTCCCTCTGCCTCCTCCTCTCGTGTCCACCTGCCACACTCTGAACTCTGTCCAGCAGGCCTGGGGCTTTCTGGAACAGAGTAAAACCCAAGGCCAGGTGGTGCCTCAGCAGAGACACCAGTGCTTCTGCCCCAGGATGCACTGCCACGAGCCCTGCACAAAGCCCTCAAAATAACCTCCGCTTTGAAAGGCGGTGGGTCCTCTCTAACCAGCTCACTCATGGGGTCACAGGGCTAAGGAGTCCATTGTACTCCCAGCATCATAGGAGCAGTCTAATGTATTATCTCAGGATTCCACAGTCTCACAATCAGAGAATCCTAGGAGTAGAAAACATTTGGACAGAATGTTAGGATCATAAAACCCCACACTCACCACATTTTAAAAGCTTAGACACTCAGAACAATGGAATCTAGAATTTGAGAGTCATAATTCAACACTCCCCTTTGTAAACGAACAAGCTGAAGCCCAAAGAGATGATTCTCTCACGGAGTGACTCATCCAAGGGGTGGATAGATCCTGGCTCCTCAATTGGGTGGATTTTCCGTTCTTTCACCCACTACCTTCCCCACATCCCCATCCAGCCCTGCTCTCTCCGCCACCTGAGCTCAGGATCCAACCCCCCCACCTCCTTTCTCATGACTTTTCTTAAACAGCTTCAATAACTTCCATGGCTATTTCTTAAACAGACTGAAGCATGCCCAACTCTCTTCAAACTTAAAATAAACAAATAAAATTCATTCCTCTCTAGCTATCATCTATTCCTCCCTTTCACTATTAAGCTTCTTGAAAGTTTTCCTACATTTGCCATCTCTACTCCTCACCTCTCCTTCTCCCCACTGCAATCTAATTTTGTCTCCACCATTCCAAAGCTTACAATGACCTCTTTGTTTCCAGACGCAGCAGACACATCTCAGCCTCCTATTTGACCAGCCTGCAGCAGCTGAGCTCATTCGCCATTCCCCCCTTCACTGCCATGACATCACAACCCCAGGCTCCTTAAACCTCTCTGTCTGCTCCTTCTCAGCTTGTTTTGAGGGGCTCCATCCCCGCACTCTTCTCTTCCTCCTCTTATACTCTCCCCGAGCCATCTCGACCATCCTCGTGGCTGGTTTGTTATTATCTCTCAGTGTCTCCCTGAAACTCAGTGTTTCCTCTGAGTCCTAGACTGATGTAGCCAGATGACTATTTTTCACTAAATGGTAAGCCCTGGGGGGTGAGGGGGTGGGGCAGGGACCATAGGATCAAGCACAGGCACTCAGCAAACATTTGATAAATGGAAAAAGTGTTGTCAACTTTTTTTTCAAGTGTTCTCTGCGTCAAGTGTCTATCATGCTAGAGGGATGACTCGTAGAACCACCAGTTCTAGAGTCAGGAAATTTAAGGTAATCTATAGCCAAACCCCTCGCTGTGCTGATAAGGAAGCCTAGGCCCCAAAGGGTTAAGTGACTTGTCCAAGGTCACACAGCACGTTTGTGGCAGAGCCCATCCCCAGCTCACCTAGGAAAGGGCACCTTGGGGTGTTGCCTTCCGGGATGATACTGAAGAGTAAAGGTAAGGAAGGTAGGATGGGCGGGCATGGTGCATACATGAGGCCATGACAAATGTGAACCTAAACGTAAGTCCAGAAATTTCAAAGGCACAATGTCCTATGCAAATCTTACTCGATTGTTGTCTGATCCAACACACCGGTGACTGGGATCCCGTAAAACTGCTGCATAGTGGAGACAGCTGACTGTAAGGCCTTCCCTGAGTGCAACGCAGATGCCCGTGAATCATAGGGAAGCAGATAGCCATAGGACTTTAACCAGTTCTGAAAGACATGTGAAAGGAAAGGATGCATTATGCTGGAGAAGCCTCTGTTCTACCTGGGCAGAGATCTGCCCTTGAAACGGATCATTTTACCCAGGGGCTTGAGGACTCATGCTCTGATTTCTTCCTCCTTGACTCTCTCCTGAAGACATGCAAATTCATCTCCAGAAAACACAGCTCTTGGCTTACTCTCCTGCTATAAACTTTTCACTGGATCTCTACTGGCTACAGAATAAAGATTAAATTTGCATTCAAGGCTTTCTACTACCCTGACTCTTTGCTCATCTATTGAGTGGTTTCCACTGACAGATGTAACATACGACTAGACATGCGAGGGCACAAGAACAGTTCATTTTCTGAAAGAGAGTGGCCTTCCAGAAACCTATTTGTCTAAAGCCAGAGTCTGATGAATTATGCTGTAGAATATTTACTGGCATGAGGTTATATACATTCTTTACTGCTAACCCCTTCTAAAAAGCAAGCCATTAAAAACAAATATAAACAAAACAATATTGATATTTAATTTAAATATCAATACATAAACATATGCATAGAAAAGCCTATAAGGGCACAATAATAGTATGATTACGTAAGAGAATTTCTTGTTTTTAATAAATACACACTGAAGTATTTAGGTTTACATAAGGGTGTATCTTATCTGCAACTCTTTCTTAAATGAGCTCAGGAAAAAAAAATAGAGAGAGAGAGAGAGAGGAAATAGATGTTGTAAAATGTTAATAGTTGGGGAATCAGGTGAAGGATATTCAGGAATTCTTTGTCCTATTCTGGAAAACTTTTCTGAAAATCTGAAATAATGTTAAAAAGTTTATATAAAAAATTAATAAATATCCTTTGTTATAGTATCATGGGGGACTTCTTTTTTTGCTCTTTTCTTTTTTCTAAGTTTTATGCATGGAGTCATTAAAAATAAAAAGGGCAAGAGAATCTGAAGTAGCTTGGATGATGAAGCTCCAACAAAGCAATGAATCTGAAAGGCAGCGAAGTAAAGACAATTATTCCCACTAATGAGCATGAGGGGATGGAAGCCTGAAGAAACCAGAGCACCAGGAAACACTTGTGGCATCAACTGGAGAATGAGAAGAACATCCATGTATTTCCTGAATTCATAAGCATTTACAGGAGCCTCCTGCGTGCCTGTCTCTAAGCCAGACAGAACCTGTGCCCATCCACAGAGGATTGTCCTGGACACCAGGTGAGCTCATGGAAGAAAAAGAATGTAGACAACGATATTATTCCCTTTCTATCTATAGTTTTTGTTTCTTGTTTCTATATGAACAGTCTTATTGTGGATATGCCTGTTATTACAAGGCAAATCAAACCATTTTTGGAAGGAGGCAAACCAGAAACTATAAATAATTATTTACTTTACCAAAGGTGACTAACATCTTTACTGTCTTGTGATAAAATCCATTGGACTGGTTAAAAACAGCATGGCTCAGTGGCTGAGTGTCAACCTATAAACCAGGAGATCACGTTCAATTCCGGTCTGGGCATATGCCTGGGTTGCTGACTTGATCCTCAATAGGGGGTGGGTGCAAAAGGCAGCCAATCAATGATTCTCTTTCACCATTGATGTTTCTCTCTCCCTCTCTAAAGTAATAAAGATATATATTTTTAAAAAACACAAAAACAGCCTGGCCAGCATGGCTCAGTGTTTGAATGTTGACCTATGAACCAGGAAGTCATGGTTCGATTCTGGGCAGGGCACGTGCCCAGGTTGCGGGCTCCATCCCCAGTAGGGGGCATGCAGGAGGCAGCCGATCAACGATTCTCTCTCATCATTGATGTTTCTATCTCTCCCTCTCCCTTCCTCTTTGAAAACAATAAAAAATATATTTTAAAAAATCCAGCGTGTACAGGGTTCTATGGGAGAACAAAAGAAGGGTGTCTCAGCCACATGGGGGGCAGGGACAGAGAGAAAGGAGAGCTTGGGAGAGGCCTCTGAGTGGAGATGGGATCAGAGCTGTTTTGGTGGCTATAGCATGTGCAACTGTCTGGAGCTGTGAGGGAGCATGGCACATTCTGAGCAGTCTTTAAAATGGGTACAACTAGGGGGGGGCTGTGTGGTGATGAGTAGAGAGGGTTGGAAAGGAAGGAAGTGGGGAGGTGATATACAGGGTGTGGCAAAAGTAGGTTTACAGTTGTTTGTATGGAAAATAATATGAGAATAAGCTCTGTGTTTCAAGTACTCACAACTGTAAATCTGTGTCTGCCCCACCCTGTATAATAATCTATTTACCAAGTGGACAAATTACAGAGAATCACTTGTGACTTGATGGTGGCCTAGGATCAGCCAAAAAATTAAGCTTCCATTTCCTTACTTGTAAAATGTAAACAATAATTCCTCCTCCCCAGATGGTCATTAAGATGAACAAATGCTCCTGACATAATTACTCCAAAGGTGTGTGTTATCTCTTTCTTTGGGTAACGTGCGTGTTGAGATCTAGTCATCTCGCCTTCCCACGTTCTCCCTGAGCCAAGAGCCAGTCCTGCTGGGTCCTTTGAAGGCGGTACATTGTCATGGTCAAGCCGACTTGCTCTCAGGTGACCTATGGACATAACCTCTCAGCAGCACTGGGAGCACTGCACACGGAGAAACATCAGCCGACTTGGATTGTGTACTCTTTACCCTGTATCTCAACTTCTTAGGACCAAACACAATCACTTTCTATCAAACTTTAGCTTAAGGAAAATGATTTCCCTACAGGAGATTCTGTATGGTTTTTTGGGGTCAGAAAATGAACACTGGGTAACCAATGGTTTTCCTTTTTGGCCTTTCTGCCAGGAATCTTTCAGCCAAATTTATAGCATAAGTGTTGAACACGGTGATGCTTGGAAGTAGCTATTATTTTTTTCATCTTTCTGACCACCACCGTATGTTTCATCCTTAAAAGTCTTACTTAAGAACATTGTTTCAATCTGTAAACTGCCGCAAGCCCTTCCAAAAGAGGTATGGTACAAATCTACAGTAAATCCGATTCCTCTCTAAAAATCCAACTAAAATGAATTATGGCATTTGGGAAATGGCTGGGGCTCTTTGGACAGATACTGTTGACAAACCAGTCAGCCAACTGATTATTTTTTGATTACCTACCTCTAAACTAGCATGGAATTTAAGAATCTTCTTCCCTCCTGCTCTCATTACTGCTTATGGTAGGAGGTAGGGAACAGGGAACTTTTAGCATAAACCCACTCCAGCCTTCTAGGGCTCCGGGAAATTAAAAGTATCTCCTCCTCAGTAAAGGGCAGGTTGACGTACCCAGATCCTTTTCTAGGACACTCCAGCAAGAAGCATCTCAAAGCCAATCGGATCCACTATGAAGGTCTCAGAGTCTATCTCAGAAGCTACAGGAGTTAAGATCTAAGCACTCAAGTCCTAGGTAAATGTCTGGGTCAGGACCAAACACTGGGATGGATCAGCCTTCTCTGGGTTCTGCTTCCCCCCCATGTTCACTGGGGACAATCCTCAGAGCTAAGGGGCAGGCGCCTATGAGGGGAAGTGGGAGCAGGAGGGGCTGGTCAAATGACAGCTCTGCACCAGGGAACAGGGCACTGAGCTTGGACCTGGTGCATGCCTATGAGCACATGCGCATGTGTACGTTAGAGGGTCGGAAGCCAAGGACTATGGATTAGCTGCCGGACAATTCCAACTGCTGCTGCTTCACTCTGTCTCTGCCACTCACTTGCTCTGTGATCCAGGCAGTCCTCTGACTGCTCTGGGCAGAAGCCCCTGATGTTGGAGCAAGTCTTCTAAACTCCAGTCATAGCAATTCCAAAACATTTCCTGCCCTTTCTCATGCCCAGGCTGCTCTTGCTGCCCACAAGCCCATTCTCTTTATGTGTGTGAGCAAACACATCCTTCAGGTCTAGCTAAAATGTCATCTCCTTTGGTAAACCTCCCTTAGCTCTCTTGGGCAGAGCTAGTGGGTGCCCTGTTTACTCCCGAAGCACCTTCCTTCTCTGCCACTCTAAGCACAACTGCCGCCGTGTGTCACACCTGATGGTTGACATGTTTTGCTCACTAGATTGAGTTCCTGAGGAGCAGAGGCTCGTAATTATTTTTGTATTTGCTATGGTACTTAGCACAGTGCCTGGCACAATAAATAATGAATGAATAGATGAATAGTTCATCTAGGAGGCAAAGTCTGGGCACCAAAAAAGGCATTTCATCTAGGCAGGTTTAATGAGTAATATACATGAAAGCACCAAGTACAATTCTTGGTATCTATTAGAGGTTGGAAAAAACATTTGCTGAAATTCAATCTATTGTAGTTTGACTTCTTTGTTTAAAGAGGCAATAGGCTCCATTGTCCCATCTGGAAAAAAAAAATCCACTAAAGGAAAAAAATCCCCATTCAGTTTTTGTTTTGTTTTTTGAGAGAGATCCCATTCAGTTTTAAACAAAATGATCCACCTTTCATCTTTTTTGCACCTGGACCCATTAATCAATCACCAGCCACTGACCTTTACAGCTCAGTTAACCAACTCTAAGATGTCTGTCACCCTTTGAGTGCTGAAAGAGGTGTAAACCCAGAGGAAAGTGAGAAAAAGCTCAGAGCACAGAGCAGGGACCAAAATAGCTGGGCTGAACCAAAGATGTAGAGTGTGATTGGTCTGCTGGCCACAAGGCAGGATTTGGTTCTTGAGAAGCCAAAGCGGAGACATTCAGAATTAGTGGTAGACAAAGGACAGAACAGAGAATAACAAGGAGAAAAAAATGTGGCCCAAAGAGGGAAGAGAGTGGCAGACAGCAGAGGTGGTGGTAAGATTAGAAGTGGTAATGGAGGCAGCAAGAAGCAGGCCAACTGGTGGTGCTGCTGTTTGCTCTTGGAAAACAGACATGATCATGGGTGGGGAGGGAGAGAAAGATGTATTAGTTAAAATTGTGTGAGCTCCTGGAGGTATGCAGGAGCCCCCACCTGGTTGGATGGGAACTCAAACCACTATAAGACCTGGAGAAGGAGTGGGAGATTGGTCAGGATCAGGTGTTTGATCAGAAATGCAGTGGGGAAGGTGTTATCAAAAAGGGCAGAGGTGACGTTTATTAAAAAGGACCAGGCAGGAAGGTGTCAAATTTGGAAAGCATGGACTAGAATGAGGGAGAAAGAATAAAAAAACTTGATCAA